TACTTTTTGTAACCTAATTTACTTCCTACTATCTATTGTAAAAAATACTTTCTATTTATACTTCGTATGTTTCTTACTTTTTTTTTTTCTATCTTAATTTAATTTATTTTATTTTACACTATCAACTGTAAAAGATATTTTCTATTTATCCCCACTTAATGTAAAATATATTTCTATTCGTATGTCCATTCTCATAACATTTATTGTAATAACATTTATCCTCAAAATATGTTTTCATAATAATATTTGTAATGAATGTCTCTCCCTCATATTTATCCAGTCTATTGTAATAGTGGCTCTCCCCCATATTCATTCAAACTATTGTAACAATGTCTCTCCCTCATATTCATCCAATCTACTGTAAAAATATCTCTTTCATACCCATGCTCACCCCTAGTGAAACATCTTGTAAGCAAGATCTGGGAATCTTGGGATCGGTAAGTAAAATCTTAACCAGATCTTAAAAAGATAATTTATATGTACATATCTTGGTTGTATCAGAGAAATCTGTACCTAAGATCTTCGCAAGATCTTGAGTAAAACGGAAAGCGACATCATTATTTTATTTAGATAGGCTATCTAGCCATTCACCGTTTTTTTATGCATACAAAACTGAATATAAGCAACATGATTGAACATTCAAAACATAATTTTCAAATAAGTTTTTTTCTAAAGTATTTCTCGATTATTGATTATTCGAGAGAATGGTGATCTCGATCAATGATCGAGAGAGGACTACTCTAAATTGGTCTGACGAATATCGGACCAACTTAAAGCCAGTCAGATCCCAACATCTGACTTGCTTGAGTTATTCGGGACAGGACATGCGATGGTAAATTCCGATGTACAGGAAATTCAAATGAAATGACTATAATAAAAATTTCCTGGAAATTCAATTGAATGCATTTAAAAATAATCGTATACTAGTTGTCTTATTATATAGAAAAGTAAAATGAGGTTGATGTTTCAGATTAGTATTGGGTTGGGTTGGGTTGGGTTAAACAAATAAATATATTTTTAGATGAATTTCACATCCCTAATCCGGTTTCCCCCCGATGACTCCCCGAGGGGTCCCTGTCGTGAGTCCCAGGGACTTTTTATTTGCGGGACTCTTCGGGGATTTGTCTAGGTAGAATTGATGAAATATCTAAATTTAAAAAAAACCTCTTCAATTTTTAAAAATTAAGAAGAATTTATTAGTAATTATATATTGCATCCGTTTTCCCCAGACAACTCTCCGGGGAGTCCCAGGAAAACAATAAAATCCCTGGGAACACCCTGTTATGAGTCCCCGGGGACTCTTGTAGGGAGAGTTGACCATGAATATATTTATTAGTAAATAAATAAACAAACACGTATATATAGATATAATGTGTGTATGTCTGTGTACAAGGGTGAGAGAGGAATGGTAGAAAGGTGTACAGATTTGGTAGATCGCTGGAGTAACTAGATATTCTTATAATTTAGTTCAACTTTTATATTTGACGGTACTGAAACTGATTTGGCGGGTCACTTTAATTCAAAAATTCATATAAATGAACTTTTTTTTCTTTTACCGTTTATATGATACATACAGACTTTCGAAAATTTTCATTTATATTTGAAACCGAATTAAGCAAGTATTATCTTCAACCTTTGAAGTTTATTTAAAACAAAGTCTTAGATGCTTCACAGTTATATAAATGAAAGAATAAAATAAAGTTTATATAACTTTTTGGATAAGAATAATTTGACCAATGCGTCTTATATTGAGCGATTATGGAAAATGTCTGTTCAGCAATCTGGCTGTTGATTTGATCAAACATGTTCATATGAGATGGATGACTTGCTCTCATTTCATTTTTACACATATGTCGTGTGTGGTTCTGTTCATGAAAGCAGTCGATGACGAAATGAACATTGTGATATAAATGATCACTAATTGGAGTGGATTTAAAATAATCGGTTCCGTATCGAGCCATCATGTAAAGTTTAATTGAGCACGCATTGTCATACATAATTCCAGAGGGAAGCTTGCTGATTTTTCCTAAATAAATGATTTAGGAGATATAAAAATGTGTGAAAAATTACCTATTCGTATGAAATGTCTTAAAACACGTCGTGGCGATTCTGAACGAATGGACTCGTCAAAACCAGCAACTATACCACATGAATAAAAGGATATTAAAAATCCATAAGTCGTTGATCGGTTTTTGTTATCTAATAATTCATTACGTTTTACGTTACAGTCTTCATCAGTTACATCATCCGATGGATCAAATCTCATAGCGCTATTACCGATACTGTCAACCACTTTGATATGTTTTTCGCAAAGACCGTTCGAATCAGTTTCTAAAGGAACATTGATTCTAAAACATTGTTATAATGTTAATCGTGCATGCACACTTACTCGAATGTTTCGAGACTGATTTTGGACATCCAACAAGTACTGGACCTAATTCTTCAATAGTATTATCATAATAATTATTAAATTTACATGTTATTCTGGCTGTTTTCTGATGCCCATCAACAATCATTATGTCAGTACAACCAGTGATGCAATTTGGGCTTTTGTGAGCAGCATGATCTGACCAGTGTTTGACAAAAGCTCTGTACAGTTCATCTTTATGTCGATCAAAAAACGCATTCACTTCCTCTTTATCGTATAAAGAGTAAGGAATTACAACAATATCTTTATCACTCCATAAGAATAATAATTTCAAAACAGTATAAACAATCCAATTAATCTGGAAATTTTTCTCGTCTAATTTTTTCTCGCGAAACGCTGTTTTATTTATTACTATAGTATTATAATGTTTGACAAAACCATGATAAGATGCACGCATTGCTAATAAAGCTGATGAAAAAGATAAAAAGATTCTGTGAGAATATACACATTCACCTCCAAAATGAAATGTATTTGCATTCATAAATTGTTGTCTTTGTACGCAATGTTTCCTAGTAACATCATGACTATAACTGTTTGGATAAAATGACCATTTACATCTCTTGCAGTAAGAATATAAAGTAACGCATTGTTCTAATATGTTTTCATAGAATATAAATGTTTTTGACAGTTGATAAATAGGTAAAACATCATCATTATCCGAACAAATGATACATTTTCTTGACATCGGCTCAATCTTGGTAAACATGATTGAATAGTTGGTTAACTTTTGATAATCAGTGATTAGTTGCTCAATGTCAATAGAAAACATTAAATATGAACGGAACAGTTCTGACGATGAAAAGAACTCGATTTGTTGTTGTATAAAAGCAGATGAAAAATTCGTGTTAAATTGTCTGTTGATGATATCACAAATAATATGATATTTCTCACTCGAAGCGACGACATCTTTTAATCGTTCGTGTAGTGTCATTATCGTGTAAATTGGGGCTTGCTTTATTAACTTTGTAAAAAATATATCATTTTTAAACTCTAAATATGTATCATTTAAAATATTCATATCTAAAACTGTTGTATATAGGTAACAATAGAAGGTTAAAGTCTAGCCGTAGATATGAAAACTGCGCTGATGTGTTAAAGTTTTTGTTTAATAAATTTCATTTCACTTTTCTTTTTAAAACAACTCATATATCACAACAGCATACATAAAAAGACTAGACAAATAATAAAAGTCATAGACATTAGCAACGGAATTAGAAAAAAAATACAATAGTTATATGAAAAGAAAAAGATTAACATCGGTCATCTGCTTCTTTTTATAATTGTCATTTAAATATTTTGTTCAAATATAAATGATATAGATACTATGGTTGAACTTTCTTTAATTTTTTTTTCTTTTCGAGCGAGAAACAACACCAGATTTTTTTCGTTTCACACTATATTTTCCAGCTGTTTCAAATGGTTCGATACCTTTTAATTACAATACACTTCAGTAATATATATTATTTTTTAAAGACTATATTACCCGTAACATTTTCTCCACATTGAAGGTCATCATATTCTGCTGGTGTATTTTCAACAGCGCGAAATACTACACGTTTATCATAAGTAACATAAGATTTATAATCTTCTGATTCCAACAAAGCCTCAGCTATTTCACTCAATCGTAACTGTGTTGCTGTCGAAAAACCTAATAAGAAAATTAATTTGAAGTAACCTGAACAATTTTTATTTTATTCTCATACCATCTTTTGTAGGATCAAAAAAAGAATTAAAAGATTCCCACGTAATACCAAATTCATTGAGAGTTGTGATAAAATTAAAACGTGATTGTTCATCATTTAACGACGGTACTTGTTTAGCGAATCCTTTCACGATCTTCAGTTTTTTTGCTAATTTCCTCACCAAATAGTCATCCTCACGTAACAGATTTTTTTCAATCATTATATGAACAACTCGTTGACGGATTGTCGATGAATAATGACGAGTAGCAAGAGCAATATCAGATGAAGATAATATGATTGATGGGTATTGCAGAATGGCTGTGACACAAGCTCTGACATCCTTTGTCTGAACACTTGAGAATGTTGCTTCATCTACTTTCAAAGAAAGTGTATTTTATATTATATTTTGACATGTCAGAATACCTGTTCTTGGTTCAATATCATCGTTTGATCCTAATGGTTGATCATCTGTCGTTTCACGATTATGATCAAAGCCTATAGCAAAAGGAAATTTCTTTTTATCATTTGATACACATCAAATTTATGCCAAATAATCCTACTTTTTGGTTGAACATCAGGTGTTTTATCATTTGTCTCAATCAATCGAGTTGATTCAGTTTCTTTTCTATGTACGAAGTCCAAGTTGTCTATTAAATGTTCTAGATAGTTACAGAACATGAAAAAAATCGAGAGCATGGCAAATTCCTATTTCCAGGAAATTCAAAATGCGCTACATACTACAATAAAGTAACGCGTAGATAAAGAAGTGTATACAAACGATGGTTATCGTTTAGATTTCTATCAAGCCATATCACACACTTTAATATAATGTAAGAGTCATTTATATATC